GGTTTTGGTTTTGAAGTAATATTTCATGTATAGTGGAAGTTCCTGAATCTTATGTAAAAATACAAGAACTTTGACAAAGTATAAATAAAATAGAATGTATCTGGGGTTATTATTTTATCTTGATTCAGACTCAGCTCTTCATTATTTTAACATTTTAAAGATTAATTAATTTTATGTATATGTGCCTATGTAAATTTATGTATAGTTCATGCATGCAGATGACCATAGAACCAGAAGAGGGTGTCAAATCCCCAGGAACTGGGGTTATAGGTGGTTGTGTATGTGGTTATTGAGGAGGGTGCTGGGAGCCAAGCAAAGTTTCCTGTAAGAGCAGTGTGTTCTAGCTGCTGAGCCATCTCTGCTGCCTTGGTTTTAACTTTTTATTCTTGATTTTATGTACTATGGGTATTTGGGCTGCATGTTTGCGTGCCATGTATATGCCTTGTGCCCATGAAGGTCAGACAAGGGCATCACATCTCCTGAAACTGTAGTGACAGATGGTTGTGAGCCATCATGTAGTTCTGGGAATTGAACCCAGGTCCTCTGAAAAAGCAGCCAGTGCTTTATCCACTGAACCATCCTCTCAGGCCCTCCCATCCACCCACCCAGTCTTAACTTTTGTTCAGCTTTTTTTCACATGATTTTCAGTTTAATATGATCAATGTTAATCACTGCTAAGTGCCACTTTGAAGTATTCCTTATGTTGTGGTCTTATGAAAGGTTCGGCTTTGTCTGGTGTTCAGTGTGCCCCCACTGGCATCAGCTTTAAGCTCCTGGGAGCCTAGGTGTTTGGCTGCTCTGGGAATTGTGGTAATTGTTCTTGTTTGTTTCAGGCGTGATCCCCTGAGCCCATTTGCTGTCGGGGGAGAAGATCTAGACCCCTTTGGGTGAGTATTTCTGGGGAGGCAGCAGCAATGTAACTTGCTTAGTGACTTACAGCCCGGCTCATCTAATTTTAGAGTTTTCGTCAGCCTCCCTTTGGAGTGAAGGAGGTAGCTGCCAAGTGGCTGAGGAATCATGCTACTTTCTGTTCTCTGCCATACATAGAGGGCATGGGAGGACCATTTCCATCCCCTCTACATAGAAGGATCTCAGCCCTTCCTGAATAAGAGTCATGAGAATTTACCAGATGAGGAATGAAGACCCACAGTGGGCCACAGTCTGTAGAGTGATAGTTCGGGGATATTTGGTGGTTACCTCTCTCTACAGAGGGAGTCTCTAAGCCCTGCTGTGTCCTCTGGTTCTCATCCCACATCCAGCAGACTCATTCTGCAGTCTCAGCTGTGCACTCTGCTCTCTGAGCAAGTCAGGTGACCTTTAACTCCTGCTGAAGAGTGACCCCACTTTGATCATCTCATTTTGATAGTAGGACTCACTCGGCTCTGCAGGGCTGCTCAGACAGTGCTTAGCATGGGCAGAGCATTAGCCTGTCCATCCCAGTTGGAGCGTATGAAGTCAGGTCCACGGTTGTTAGCAACTGTACTGACACCCTTAAGGAAATAGCAAAACCACAACATGAGCGGTCACGATGTCATTACTTCTAGGTTTAGAGTAATACTCTGCAGAGTCTGACAGTTCTGTATTGAACCTGGCCAATTCTAGCTCTAGTTCTTGACCAGTTGACCCCACTGGGTGTAAGACATGGCAGAGATCTCAACCCTGTGGGCTCAGGAAATCTTACAGAACTTCTTGCATCAGCAGCACACACTTTTGTGTTCTTGCTCACTTGTTTGATCTTGTGTCTGCCTGGACCACTACAGTAGCCACGGTCAATTTTTACTTCACTCTATGCCTGTCTCGCGTCTTCAAGGGCAGTAAGTCCCTGTTGCAGCTGCTTACCCAGCTTTATTTCTGTCTCAGGTGTCAGAGAGGTGGCATGATTGTGGATCCCCTGAGATCTGGCTTCCCAAGAGCACTTATTGACCCATCCTCGGGCCTCCCGAACCGGCTTCCCCCTGGTGCTGTGCCCCCAGGAGCTCGCTTTGACCCCTTTGGACCCATTGGGACCAGCCCGTCTGGGTAGGTATTCATTCAGGTATGCTGAAACATGGGATTTGATGGCAGCTCAGCTTGGCTTCGTTCAGCATTGCAGCCCAGGTATCTGACTCCAGGCACAATTACCACTGCTGCCTCCCTAGAGCCTTCCAGGAGTCCTCTCCTCACCTCCTCCCCTTGGTGTCTTAAAGTTATCATTGCTGTGATAACACACAATGAATGAAAGCAACGTGGGGTGTAAAGGGTTTATTCTGCTTACAGCTCCACATCAGTGTTCATCATCGACGGAACTCAAAGAGAGCAGGAACCTGGAGGCAGGAGCTGTTGCCAAGGCCATGGAGTTCTGGTTACTAGCTTATTGTCCTTGGCTTGCTCAGCTTTACAGAACCCAGGATGGTCCCACTCACAATGGGCTGGTCTCTCTCCCATCAATCACTAATTAAGAAAATGGCTGTACAGGCTTGTGGAGGCATTTTTTTCTCTCAATCAAGGTTCCCTCCTCTCAGATGACTATACCTTGTATCAAGTTGACATAAAACTAGCCAGCACACTTCGTGACCCACCAGGGAGGACTCAGAGGAAGAGGTGCTTGTGCCCATATTCCTTTTACAGATGAGAAGGGCAAGGTCCAGAGACTGGGCATTTGAGCCAAAGTAAGATTTAGACCCAGGCCATCTGGCCCTAGAGTTCATGGTCTTAAACTCCATGTCACTCTGTAGGCCTTCTCTATACTGGGCATGGTTCCTGTGCACTCAGCCCTCATCCCTCCAACTCACTAGACCCTCTTTCCATTGCAGACCTAATCCAGACCATCTCCCCCCACCGGGCTACGATGACATGTACCTGTGAAGGCCTCAAGAATGTAACCTCTCAGCCTCCCTTTCACTCTCCTGGAGCTGCCACCACTAGCCCCATCAGTGTCTGTGTTCTTGTGGGCTCAGGGCAGAGGATTCTGCCAATGTGTTTGCAGGCCCGCTGGGGTTGCATCCCCAGCCCTTGTCAAAGCCAAGGTACCTGCTGCAGCATCCCACCCAGCTGCAAATAGGTCTCAAGGAGAAATCAGTGTGTCTCTATCATCACCAGCTCCTCCCCACTTTTAAGGGAGACTCCGGCAACATAAACCCTCCACCCGATGCGGTCCCGGTCACAGCGCTATAAGAACAGAACGCATTTTGGATGTTATTATTAAGAACCAAATGTCAATACAGAATTCATGTTGCCGGTCTTCCACTTTCCTTTTTATGCTAATGCACAAACTCTTAAGAGTTTAATCCTTCATAGGACTAATTGACTCCTAGAAGTGCCCATTCTTCTCAAGCGCGCCCCCTTTTCCTAAGTTACTCTTGCTCCTAACATCACTAAGATAAGCCTCACTCGGACTTTATGCCTAGTAGTGTGACTGGAACCCCATGAACCACAAGGATGATTTCACCAAAGCAGGCACACTAGAAAACCTGCCATCACCTTCAAGGACAATCCCTTTCCAGTTGCTCCTGTCTGTGCAGCCCTGTTGGCTGTCTCCCTGGGCTGCTGCATCCAGTAAGTAGAGGAATAAACAGAACAGACCTGTAGGCTAATCTCATTTTCTCCCCATAGTGACCCTAAAGAATTCCTTTCTCTTAGAGCCTAGTGAAAGCAGAGGCTCCTTAGCTGAGGCTTTATGATGCATCTTTATGTGCCCAGGAATAGCCCTAAGGACTAAGTGGGAATAAGGAAGGATGTCTAACTGTGCTGCTTGTCCTCTTGGGGCTGACGAGAGAACAGGAACATGGGTGCAGCCAAGTGTGGTATTACACTTCAGAAAGGAAAAGGACTCCCAAGCTCTGGAAGCCTGTGTCCAGGCCTGCCCAGTCTGTAGAATTCTCTGGATCCCTTGATGCCTCAGCTGACAGGCATTGGCAGTGCTCAACCCTGTGCTTTAGTGATGGAAGGAACCAGGCCAGGAGACACCAAATCAAGATATCCCACAGCCGGCGTTCAACCATGTGGCTCTTCAACATCTCAGCTCCTTGCATTTCTTCCCCCAAATTAGGATTTACCCTTTTTGCCTGTATGGGGCAAGAAGCAACTGTAGCTTTTCTGGAGTATATTCTAGGAGGGCGTCCTATGTGCCCAGCCCAAAAATGGGTAGGTAAACTGAGCTAACAGGACCCTGGCCAGTCTCAGCAGGAGGCTAGGCCTCAGAGCCAAGCTAGCATGAGTAAGCTCCCTAACTCTTGAAGAAGGTCACATGGGTCAGGCACTGACAAAAGTCAGGGAGTTAAGGTGCTGACCACCTTGAAGCTCTAGAACATCTGTGATCTGTGGAGGTAAAGACGACCATTCATTGTGTATCACCTCATCCTTGAGTGCCGGCAGAGGGAATGTTCGGGTTTGGTTTTAGAATTGAATCACACCTGCTCAAGAGCTTGGGGTACTTTGCTCATTAAAGCATCCCTTCTTATTCAAGGGCGCATTTGAAGGAACAGCTGTCTGAATTCTTAAGATAGGTTGGAAAGGGTAGATAACTCTGGGCCCTGATTTGAGGAAAGGTAAAATGGAAACATTCTTCAATTAGGCTTTTTAATAACAAAGATGAAAAATAAAAAAGATAGATGTACCTTAGTTCTATTTTCTGGAAACACAAGTTATGGTGGTTCTGTAGAAAGGACTGTTTTTATTGTTACTGTTTTTACCTGTGGTCTTCCTTATAATATCCTTGAGAAACGCAGTATCACAGATGCAGGTAAGCTGTTGGTGCTTGTTTGGGTCTCTGTCACTTCTCTGCTTCCAACTGAGTTGCCAACAGCAAGAGTTGGAATATTTCAAGCATATGTCCTATAGAACCTCCAAATCAGAGGCTTCACAATAAACAGATAACACTTTGTAATCTGGTTTTTTTTATTAACAACTTTATTAAGAGAATTTACATACTCAGGAAATTCACCCTCTTAAAGTACACAACTCAGTGAGTTGTAGGGTATTCACAGTTCTGCATGTGCACCCACCCCCAGATCTAATTCCTCCAAAACAACAAAAACCAAAAACCCACTATCCCCATCAGCAATCACTCTCAGTTCCCTCCCCCAGCCCAGGCATCCCCCAGTCAGTTGTCTACAGTTTGCCTATTCTGGACAGTTCTCATAAATGAAGTCACTCACTATATGGCCTTTGGGTGTCCCACATTTTCCACACCTTGCTTTCACTGCTCATGCGATCGTAGCAGCAACACTTTATCCTGTGACTGCATGGTATGGCTGCATCACGTCTGTCCTTTTGCAGTTGTTGGATGCTTGGATTGTTTGTCCCTTTCCTTGTTGTGTTGAATGATGTTAACATTCGTGTACAACTTTGTTGTGTGGGCAGATGTTTTCAAGTTGTTGAATAAGTCTGGGATGGATTTGCAGGGTCCCATGGTAATGCTTTAACTTTTTGAGGAACTGCCAGTATTTTCCAAAACAGCCACACTCTTCTTACTTCACCAAACACTTGCTTGAGGCCAAACTAAGGGTGTCAAGTCATATCTTGTTTATATTCTTGTCCTGTATTTTGTATTCTTTAATGGAAAATTTTGAACAAGACCATGCAAGGCAGAGACCAGAGCAGCTTGCTTTTGAGGAGGAGGACTTGTGGCTTTGATAATGGCCACCATGGGGTGGCTGTGGCCAGTCATGGAGTTGGGTTTGACTTTGGGGGTGTTCTGGGCTGGATGTGATGCACGATGGTCTTTTCTCTGGGGGAAATTTCTGAAACCTTTGGACATGTAATAAGATGCAGAACATCATTCTCACTTGGTTTGAAATTTCATAGCTCACCCAGTGGCTTACAAATAGAAGCAAGGTCTACTTCTAAATCCATTGTCTTTTGGTGCTAAATAGACCACTCATACTATTTCTAGGATACACCGGCCCACATCCCACCTTCTCTTCTTGGCTTGCATTCTTTTCTATTCTTAGAGCTGACTGAGTTTTGCATTACATTTATCTCCTTAGTCATGAGCTTCAGCCAACCTCCAGTCTAAGGCATGAGTCTCCTAAGACCCTGACCCCAGGATGTATCAAGTACTAAATGGGGCTGCATTCCTGTGCTAGAGTTAGCACCTATTAACACACAGGTGAAGAACAGGTAACGAAGTCTATACAACCTCCCTCTGGAACCTAGCTTTCTCGTGATTTCTCTTGTCATTGCTGACATTTTTGTCATTGATCCATGGCTGTTGTCACAGAGGGAAAACAAGTCCACGGATCCCTTCAAACTCTCTTACCATCTGATCTTGTACACTTGGGTGCAGTTCTAGCAAAGACAGGTTCCACCAGCAGGCATAGTCCCAGCTTTACCTGTCAGTAATATTTGTTTGCTCGCTGATCATTGTGCATCTCTAGATGCTCACGGCAGGTACCTAGCCACCAGGCCTAGGCCTTATTTGCCCTTGGAATGCCACATTCTCAATCACTTCAGCTGGGCTTGAGCCAGAATTTGCTCCCGAGAAAAGGTCAAAAGGAAAGCGTGGCCAAGAGTGAGGGTCTGGGCAGTAAGAACCAGCAAGGCCCTGATCACTGGACGGATCCTAGAACGCATCAGTCAGTCTGAGCACCTCACTAAGGCAGTGCTTGTGGCAGTGAAAGGCCCATCCACTCACAGTAAAGGACCTGGGTAACCACTGAACCGTGACAGTGGTTATGAGCTACATAAAGCAAGTGCTGGGAAATTCACAGTGTAGTGGTTTACAGGGACAACTAAATGGGACGGGCCAGTCTGGAAGTTCAGTGCAGTAAATACTCATTTAACCCAAGGGCCAGTTAGCTCGTCACCATGGTCTGAGAAGTGGGAACTGTAAGACAGCAGCTGCCCAGATCTGCCTCAGAAAGTGAATGTCTTTCACTGTCTCCTTGTGCCCACTCAGCTCAGTTCCAAGTCAAGGCTCAGTGGACTGAGTACACATGGGTGTGGTAACCTGCATCACCTCTCAGACTAGCAGCAAGAGGGCCCAGGGAGGCCTCATGCTCGTCCCATCTCAGCCACTGGGAGGGGCATTGGCACAGGTCTGCTGAGCCCTTTGTGACTGTGTCCCATGATGTAGCCGGGTAACACACTCTTGCATGCCACAGCCTCCTGTCTCCTAAATGCTTGTTGTATGTCGACAGCACATCCTGGGCCCCAGTCCACAGCTCTCAGGAAAGGCCTTCAAGTTCCTTGTTGGCAAGGGCCCGTTGTAACTTGTGAATCATGCAGGTTGGAGAACTGCAAAAGGAAGTCTTTCCACATAGCACCAACAGCAGTACTCCCTGGAGTCTTGATAGAAACGAACACTCTCGGGGCCGCCTCAGACTTACTATATGTGAACTTGAACTTTAATTCTTTTTGTGTATACGGGTGTTTTGCGCGCATGTATGTATGTGCACTGGTTGCACGTCTGGTGCACACATGGGCCAAAAATGGCATCAGAACCCCTGGAATTGGAGTTACTGATAGTTGTGAGCTGTGATGCGGGTGCTGCGAATTGAACCCAGGTCCTCCGGAAGAACAGCCACTGTTCTTAACCATTGAGCCATCTCTCTAGCCCCAGTGAACTTGCCTTTTGACAAGTTCCCCACATTCCATGTGTACACTGAATTGGGTTGTTCAAGTGAACAGATAGCCCTTTACCTTCACCTGGATATCAGGAACAAGAGAACTAAGTCAGCCAGTCTTGGTTGACGGCATACATGATTAATGCATTCATATTCACATTTTACCTGGTTGTATCCCTAATAGCCACTCCATTCCCTTAGCCCTATGGCTCATTCAAGCATATTTCATAAACGTCTTTAAATATATGGGTGCCCTTGTGAGATAGCCACCCTGAGATCATTAGTCATTGAGCCTCACTTCTAAAGCAGAGAGGGTTAGAAAGGTCTGGTAGACTGACAGAAACCAAGTGTGGGAATGACTCCAGCACACGACTAGTAACAGCCTTCCTCATCTGTGAAATGGGTGTTACACATGCCTGCAGATTGCTGGGAAGTACCACAAAATGTGTCTTATTAAAGTGAGTGGGGGTCCAGTGGGTGTCGGCAGCTGTCATTACTAAAGACATATGGGTAAGTGAGAATGGAGCTCAGACACATAGGAGAGGAACTCTGGGCCAAACCAGTGCGGAGACAAGTGTTTATCTACTGCCCATAGTATGTGCAGCTTCTTATCCCAGACTGTACTTGCTACAACCCAAGATGAAGACTGGAGGCGTTAGTCAAGGTACTGGACACAGCCCTGAGGGGTGGCAGAACTAAACCAGCCTGGCTCTAAAACTCCTAAGTTCTTTTCAGTAGAACCAGACCTCACCTGGCCATGACCCACAGGCAAAACCCATCCCAGAATCTGGGAAAGAGGAGCTATCTGAGAAAGGAGAAATTCTGCGTAATCCCAGGGATGGACGTAGACTCTGAAACTGAGCCTGCTGGCTGGGCTTACATGTTCCTGAGCACTCAACAGCTACCTCACTAGCAGCGCCCAGATTAGAAGGGGCATCTGACACCATGCGACACCACCTCCACTCTGCAGGAGATAGCCCCCGTTAAACCCCTCTGAGGGTGAGGTAAGGGGCTCCTCTAGGCCCCAAAGCTGGGCTTGGGCTCTGTGCTGGATCATTCCACTAGATCCCAGCTGCTGCTCCTCTCCTTGGCCCTCTGGGGTTGGTAGGATGGAAGCTACTCTGCACTAAACAAAGGAAAAAGCCAATCAAAGGAAACAGTAGATGCATGAGAAAGATTTCCCCAGGGCCACACAGACCACAGAAATTTTGGTTCACATCCAAGCTTTCCCTGCTCAGTGTGGACCAAAACAGTCACAGGGGTCCTTAGTAAAAAATAAATAAAACACACACACACACACACACACACACACACACACACACACACACTAGCTCTCCTTCCTCCTCACTCAGCTACCCTGTTAGGAATTACCATGACAATTCAGCACCCTGGTCAGCACCCAGCCCCCCTGGTCCTGAGGAAAACTCTACATTCAGGTTGGCTGCTCTCCAAGCCAGGATAGCCCATTTCTGGAGGCAGGCAGACATATCTGAGAGGACAGGACCTGCCCTTCTTCCTGATCCCTGACACCATCATCCCTCCAAGCCTCCATAGGTCCCTCTGTCAGTACTCCTTGAGTTTTCGTCTCTTAAATGCTATAACTAAAACGGAACATAGCAACTACTCAAACCTCTGCTGAAAGAATGACTAGAATGCTTGAGTGGGTCCGAGCAGACACTCCCTTTAATCTTGCCACCACTGCCATGGCCAACTACTGTGTTAGTTGATATACCTGCAAAACTCTGGCATTTGGACTCCTGCCTTAATCTCTGATGGAAAGAATCATGATCAGCAATGGTGACACAGCTCGCCCATGAGTAGCTTCAGTGATAGATGTGGATACACAAAGAAATCAAGTAGGGAAGAAGAGAAAAGAAGAGAAGACAGGTTTGGTGAATGTCATTGGCCCCAGAGTCAATACTGACCCAGATGCCACACCTCCCAGGAAGAGGTTGGCATGGCAGCTGTCTCCTTTCCCTGTCCTTGTTCCCTTGGGCCAGAACTGATTAGTGAGTCTCCTTTTACTTGCTGCTTTTCTTTAGACCCAGGAGACCATCAGCCGCCACCCTGGCCTTGGAGACTGAGAAGTCAAATATGAAAAGGCCGCCAAGTTGAGGCATGGAGTCAAGGCCATGTCCTCTAGCTGTAGTTCTTACCCTCAAGGAGGGTCAGAGGATGCTACAGTATTGCTCCCACAGTGCATCTGACATAGAAGTCTTCCTTCCAGACAAATCTGAAAGTATAGGGAGGACAGGCCCTGTCACCACAATGCCACATTCATGCCTTGCAGCCTTCTCGTGGTATCCTGCACCTGTCCCCCTTCTCCAGATGATGAAGCCCAGGAACCCACCAGGGGTCCCACTACTCACTCCTCAGTCACCTGTGTACCCCCATCTACCTCATCTCACTAGCTGCTGAGGCCTAAGCCTCTGATCACATGTCTCTCTCTGCCTGGAACCCTCCCAATTCTCCACATCAATACCTCCTAGTTGTTTAAGATTCTTATTAAGCACTCCCTTTCCAAAACAAGCTAACCTCCAACTCACACAGATCTTCCTCCTCCTCTTCCTTCTCTCTCTCCCCTCCCCTCTCTCCCTCTCTCCTCTCCCTCTGCACCCCATATCACAGCAGTCTTGCCATCCTGCACAAGACAGCCTGGGTGCAGCCCAGCCAGGACTGTGCTCATCTGTCAAACCATGGCAGGATACCATGGATGAATGAGAGAACATGAATAGCAAGGCTATTAGAAAATGCAGGGCACTGTGCTAAGTGCTTTAAAGACACATTTACCCATCACCATAGTCTCACGGGGTAGCCATTGCAACTAGCACCGCTGCTTTCCAGAAGAAACAGGCCAGGGAACACTGACAATTGCCAAGCACATGAGCAGTCATCCTTTACACTGACGAACCAGCCTCCATGGACCCTCAGGTTCGGCCTCTGTCCCTCTGAGACTCATGTGCAGGCAATGCTCCAACACTGCGCCACCCTCTGCACTATGCAGGTGTCCTGTTGTCCATCTGCTCGGGACAAACGAGGAAGGGGAATGATGTAGGAAAGAAGATGCACACGGACTCAAGAACAAGAAGCTAGAGCAGGACAAAAATCAGGCTCTGGCCCCAAAGACTCTGGTTCTTCTCAAATGAACAATTTGGAAGCTTAGGGGAGTCTCAGCTAAATCCAACTAATTCCATTATGCTCCATGTCTGAAGATACCTAACTCCTGGCAATGTTAACATATCTATCTCCACTGATGGGCACTCCCTGCCACTCCGGTTCAGCCATGACCCCAGCAAGCTTCCCTCTCAGATCAATCTAACCCTGGAGAAATTAGAGAGAAAACCAACAAACTAAATGGGAGACATATCCCCACCATTGTCCATACCACTGACATCCGACTTCTAACGTAACCATGCCTCTAGCTTCTTGAAGCCTCCCATCTTCTTTTCCTGCCCCGTGCTTGCTGTCATCCACTGGATTGTGGTAACCAGCATGACCTGGTTCCCCTAGTTCTCAGCTCAGTCCCCTCCCCGAGTGCCAGGGTTCTGGAATCCCCCAGAACTCTCTTCTTTTCCCAATAAGGAAACAGGAGGGGAACTATAGAGGACACTGGACTGTTGCCAGGAGGGTGGCGAGCTTAAAACCATGGGGTCTGTGGCAGACAGAGGAAGAAACCATCATCAGCTTCCAGAGGATGCCCTGCCTTAGAGCTCCGCAGCCAGAGGCTGAGTCCTTGGCTCCCAAGCAAGGTCAAATGAGAAAGCTGCAGAGGTATAGACAGGGTGCAGTGTGTGTGTGTGTGTGTGTGTGTGTGTGTGTGTGTGTGTGTCCTCGTGCACAGAACTGTGTATGCAGGGAGGAGGACATTTGAAAGAGAATCCCTAGGAAGGTGATGCTATTCCCAAGAAAAGGAGCAATGGTGGTCGAATCAGCCAGCAACCCCTGTTGGCTGGGAGACTCAGACAGTACCTGTAAGGAAACAGAGATGGTGATGACAGGCCTGGGCCTCAGATGAGCAAGAGTCAGGATCACAGATTCCTCTGCCTCAGCAAGTGTCTCCTGGGTCCAGTTATCACTGGCTTATGTCATACCAGGGCCGGGAAGAGAACCTTTCTCCCTCAGGGGAACCCCTAAAACAAAGCTAAACCAAGGCCCAGAGAGGACGTTCCAGCTGCAGACCCACTGACAAGCCATGCCCACACTGCTAGTCATGGGATCTTCTGACCCTAAGACAGTATTCCAGCAAGGCTCCAGGGAGCTGGGCAGGTACTGTGGGGCTCCAGGACATTGCACAGGGCACTGCCTGCCCTGTCAGGAATAGGATGTTTTTGTTTCATCCTCTCATTCAAACATGAACACCTACTACATATGCCAACCATGTTTCTCACCCTAGGAATGTGGTATGACCCAGTTAGCCCACTTAAACAGAGAGGTGGGGTAACTTGCCCAAGCTCACACAGCCAGTAAGTGGCAGAGCTCATATTCAAACCCAGATCTTACCAGTTCGGAAAGCTCTGTCTATTCAGATACAATGAGGAAAGCAATATTGGGAACCTAATGGGGTGGCAGAGGCAGTTCTTAGAAGGGAGGCAGGCATGTTCCAGCGGCCACAGAGACAACTCCACATCTAATCCCAAAGAGACCCACAGAAGGTTCTCAGCACCTCCTCATCCTTCCCTGGCTCCTTCCTAAGCCTCGGTCCATGGGCTGTGAGATCTCAGCTGCATCTTGGGGAAATTCCGTCAGCACCTCTCAAATCGGCTTAATTCACGGACGAGGTAATGCCTGCCTTGATCCATTTGCATGTGGTTTCTAAAGAAGTTTCCCATCGGAATGCAAAGCAGGTTCCGCTGGCTTGGAAAAAAAAAACTGCCATTCCTATATTTTCCAGCAGATTTAGCCCCTAAGTACATTTCATTGTGCTTAAACTGACCCAAATGGACAGTGGTAGGCAGAGACTCTCAGTAGGAACTGTAGCCTAGCAGGCCTCCTCTACTGCCACCGGAATCCAAACTGCTCCGATTGATACGTTTATTACCATCACGGACTGGGGAAGCTGGGGCCCATCACTGGCAATGTCCTACCTCACTGTGATTCATCTAGCATGGTTCCTGCCACCTTGTCCAGTATTTCCCTGCTCCAGCAGGGGAAAAACCAACATATTTGATGAAGCCCTGGGATCGGGACCTTTTGCTCTCGTGACCTTTATCCTAGTTAAAGCCACACTAGCAGAACCTCCGAAGCCAAGCTGCACAATTTTGTCCCCCTCAGCCCTCCCCCAGCTCTCTGCTCTAGGCAAAAACCGCCAATGAGCAGACATTTGATCTGTCTCGGAAGCTGTGATATTATACTGCCCAGATGTTCAAGCTGCCTGAGCTGAAGGCTCATGTTCCACACAGTCAGGACCTCTCCAGCATAGACCCTGTGCCACCCCGGATTCTTACCCCCACCAACAGCTAGGATCTCAGCTTATACAGGCAGCTAAGATGGAGGGTGAGGGATCTGCCTGGAGCAGGGGCTCAGGGAAATGACCCTTTTAGAGTCTTCCCATAACCTAGACAGTATGTGCTCTGGAAGTCCTCTGAGGCCTTTTGGCCTGGACAGTGCTCCCCAAATTTCTGCCACCATCTCCTTGCCCCCTAATGCCTACTTCCATAGTCAGAAGTTTACATAGAGTTTGGAGGGATCCTGGAAATACTTCACTGAAGACAGAATGCCAACAGCAATCCATGTGGCTGGAGTCTCCAGGCCACTTAAGTGTGCCTTATATGTCACCAGATGACTGGCAACTGAAATTCACTGAGAAGGAAAGGCAGACATTACTAATTCAGCATTAAGGAAAACTGTTTTCTGCTACCAGGATGAGATCAGGCCTAAGTAACAGCTCACTAAGGGGGAGGGGGAGGTGATAAACCCCCAACATGCCCACAGAAATACAACCAAGTCCTCACACCTAGGTGCCCAGTGCGCTTCTGAAAGGAACCACTGCAGAAAATTAGCCACCATAGGAAACCAGATTCCAAGACCAATTCACACCGGGTCAAATTCTGGATTGAACCAAACCCATTCACCCAGGCTCTGTAGCAGGACCATGAGAACCACTGCTCCTGGCACTGGGAGTCACCAATGCAGGCCAGAAGGTGGCACTGACAATGGTCAGTCCCTGTCAAAAACCTTCATCCCTCTTTGTAGGTGGGCCAGAGGCAGACTGGCTTCCTATTCCCAGGGCAAATGTGGCTCATGGTGGCGCACCCAGTCCTATTCCTCACTTTAGAGACTGAGCAACCAAGGCCTGGAGAGGGGAGGGTTATGGTTCAGTCAGTAGGGTACTGCAGGGGGTCAACTCAGAACCGACTTCTCCCATCACCATGAAGCCACGCTCTGTTCCAGATGGTCACCCAACACTCTCACTTGGCTAGTGAAGACAGTAGGGGTCTCAGAATTCCCAAGGCATGAGGAACGGGGGTCACCCTTGCGCATGAGTCCCAACCCTGAGAAATGCCAAGCAACCTCATCTTCTAAGAGCAGTGGTTTCCAAAAATGTATTTTTAGCAGCAGAAGCCATCCTCCAAACAAAGCCTTATGCAAAAACTTCAAGCTGCAAAACACATCAGCAGTGCTTGCCTGAGTAGGGCCTAAGCCAGAACCCAGGCTGCTCCCACCCCAGCACCAAAACTCCCTCCACAGGGCCCTCTGTGGATCTCACTTTGAAGCCCCAAGTTTTGGGGGACTTCCAAGCTCTTCAGCTAAAGCAGCAAGATAGGGTGGACTCTTACTTAAGAGCCCTGTGTGGTATAGCTGGTCTCTGAGACTTGGACAACCTCATTCTCCACTAGGACCTGGCCCCCATCCCCAGCGAGCTGCCTCATACGCAGGTTGATGGAGCCATAGGTCTTCCTGGATCCCCTGCCAGGGACGAAGGTCTGCCTGCGGTACAGCTCACCCTTGCATAAAGAGACCATGAGCAACACAGACAGAAGCATGCCACCCACTGTGAGCAGCCCCAGGCCCGCGATGATGCACTTGTCCAGATGCGAGCCCAAGCGGGCGTAGTACATCTCCAGGCGCTCCATCTCCCTTGCTGTCACCGTGTCAGGGTTGACTCGGGCCTCTCGAGGGATGGCATATGCTGTTACCACCAGGAGGATTCCGCTCACCAAGAAAACCAGAGCAGAAACAAAGCCATAGTCCACTGGGCGGCTCACAGGTTCCAGGCCTGGCCCTTCCTCTGAATGCAAAGAAAGATCATCCCGCTGGGACCGGGGCAGTGAGGGGACACCTCCAGGGGGACTGGGGGAGCTACCCAGTCTGGCATCCCCAGGGTTCTGGAAATGAGTCTCATGCTCCTCAGAGAAGAAGCAGGCATTCTCCACACCCATCCTGGATGGCGCCACTGGGCCCAGCGGGGCTGGCCTCCTTGGAACCTGGGGACCATTGCTCAATGTCTTCAGTTCCAGACCAGGGGGAGATGCCATTGGGAAGAGCAACCCCAGCTCATGCCTTGGCCCCTTGGCAGCTAGAAGAGAAAACATAACGCCAGTTGAAATTGCCTGCTGAAGCTCAGTATCCCACTTGTCCTTGGCACAACTGTGGGGAGCTATGGACAGCAGAGCGATGTAGCCCACGCTAGGGAACCACTCCACAGTGGTGGGTGCAATTAGCCTCTCCGGGCCTCAGTTTTCTCATTGAAAAAGATTTCCCAGTGACAATACTGATACTACTCCCTCCTGCACTGCACTAATGGAGAGGCTGCAGTAGCCCACGTGTAAGGTGTTTAGTAGAGTACCTGGTAAGTATTAATAATGGGTGTCTTCATGATGGAGGAATTTAGAGGAAGCTGGAGAATGGAAAACCTTAACTGAGCTCAAAGCCAAACACCTCTGTGTAAGCAGGCAGGGACTGGAGGTGGGGGCAAAGAGGAAACACTACCAAATTCCTGGACACATACCAGACAGACTCAGTACACACATGCTTTTGTGCCAAAAGGCCACCAACCTACAGCCACGGGCTGGACTGAGTTCGCTGGAGTTCTGCTTATTTCACTCCCGATTCTATTCAGTGAGTTTTGGTGCATTAGTTGCCAAGATAAAGAAAAAAAAAAAAAAAGATTTCACCTCTTAAGCTTCGAGTTCCTGTAGAAAGCAGGTGAAGTTATCAGAGAAGGTACTGTTGGCATGGGCACGGCAATCTCAAGGACTGGTCCCACAGAAGTGGCAAAGCCTTCCCCACATGAGGCTCAGAGAGATGGCAAACCCTTCCCCAGGTCCAAATGCAAATACAGTGTGTGCAGAAAGTGTCCGCTTTAGCCTCTCCGTCCCCCACAAGTCTATGGCCTGGTGACTTCCGCTACAGAGACCGCCCCTACCAAGTTAGCTAAACTTGATCAGCAGTACATCAAAACCCTGCCCTCTTGTCTATCTGTAATATCCCTGCCTCTTGCTTTAGCCATATACAATAACCCTGCCTCCCTGTTGAGCTGCATATAATAAACCTGCTGATCAGGATTGCTGTGGTCTCTCACTATAGAACCCAGACCACCTGATCCCAGCTTTTCTGCATGTCCACGTGTCTGTCTTTTCTCCTTTCCCTTACTGCCCCAGTCAGGCCAATCCTTAGAGCCATGCAGATGCAGCAGGCTCTCATTCCCACCTTCTCCTGCAAATCTGACTGCCATGGGCCACCATCCCCTCACAACATACACCAGGCATTGGTAACTGGACGGGTTGTATTCTTCTCCACAGGCACACCTCCCTGGTGTGTCACTTCTGATCTCACAGCAGACGCACAATGTCCCACACGTACATCCACAGCCCAGGCACTAAATGCCCAGGTAACAGAGACCCTAGGCCTGGAGTGACTCTTGTGCCGATGTGTTTACACACCTGAACGCTGGTTCTCTGTGTTCTCAGGTCATTCTCCAGTGCTCTGTGGGCGCCCGTGTTTCTGTGCAAACGGGAGCAAATATATAAAGCGATGGTAAATGAGAGGAATACATGAGCAAAACTCCAAGGGGTTGAATGCGAGTCTCTCTGACCTTCCCATGGGGACTTGTTCTCTTAGCAAGCATATGGTCTTTCATCTCAGTTCAAAGGCTGGTCCTGCTTACAACTCCTTTCCATGGCTGCGTCCCTCCTCTACGTGTCTGTTTAATACATGCTTGCTGAGCTTCGACTGCCTGTTAGACTCTCACCTTAGCACCTCACTCAGGAATAGCTCAGCTCTATCACCATCTTAGAAAACGAGAGCAAGACATGGGGACTAGGGACTAATAGTTGAAAATGGGCACCCCAATAATCTCTATTCCCTACACACTTGCAAACCCACACGCTCCAACTTCCTTCCCTGGATCTTTCAGCCCTCACTTGAGACATCAACCTTGGGCATCCTAAGGGCAGAGATCTGTCTGAATCTCCCTGGGTCCCTGTCTCCTGCTCAATCTCCTCTCAGTTCACAGAGGAGAAATAGGAAGGAGGGAGGTGCTGGTTGACTTTTTGCTCTTGGCACTAAAAGCTAAGACCCTGAAAGTAAGTGCCACTTGTGGCCCCCACCCATCCAGCCCTCAGCAGGCCTGAAGAACTTGGGAGTGTCCCGTAACCCCTATCCTAGACTGGTACATCAGAGCCCCATAGCCAAGAAGATAGCTGGGGCACCCAAATTCTTAGAGCAAGACTCTCTTTTACCCAAAACTTTTTCCTTAGGGTGCCTGGGTGAAGGAGCAGACACAAGGAGGTCGTCTCTCTGATAAGCTTTAGAATGTCTGTTTAGTCTTTAGACACTTGGTAGGTTACTCAAGGGCATGCTCATAAATTACCCAGACATAAGCAGAGCCACACAGATGTTGGTGCCCACGTATCAAACCCAAAACAGCCCCAGCAATTGTATCTGCAGTCCTGTAGTTCCTAAAAGGCAAGCACTCCCGAACCTCCCACTCCCGTTCCCGTTCCACACTCACAGCCTTCGGGACTGTTCCCACAGCAATACCCACAAACCCGGGAAATAAGTGTGACTCACAGATCCACGGGTCACTCTGGTGGTACCCACAAGAGGGTAAAATTGAGGGAGATGGGGAAGGATGCAAGAGGGAAGGAGACAGAGAGAAAGGAAATAAAGGCTACCTCTAGCACTGCTAAGATATAAGCCGGATCCACCCAGACCTGCCCGAGTCCAGCACCCCCACCCATGGCGCACGCTGACACCCACCCCGGAGCTCGATACACTGCGAGGCTGGGTGAAGCTTCGCAAACCCAATCGATAGACACACGCACTCGTAGTACACAAAGCCTCGGGCGCGCAGATGCACACACGCAGGTCCACGCTGTTATACCCAAAGTTCCGCGCGAAAAGCCCCAGAGCCCAGGCCTCCCGCCTCCCCCGCGCCCGCCGGCCCGCAGTTCACACCCCCTGCTCCTGCCCTTGACCACCAACGCCACCAGCCAGACCAGGCCGGACTCGGCCGATCCGCAATCGCAGCGGGACGGTCCAGGGAGCCTGAGCTCGGCTGGGCCGGCGTGCGCTAGGGTGCCCGGGTCGCGTGTCCTTCGACCGGCCGCGAGGTCAGGAGAGCTGTCCTTCGCTGCCACTCCCCGCCTCGGGCCCTGCGCCGGCGGCTCGCGGTTGGCGTGCGGAGCCGTGCCGGGCCTCCCAGTCTCCGCACGCGGGATCACAGGGCTCCCGGCGGCAGAGGGTGTGCGCGGATCTCGGCCCGGTCGCCGCCTCGCCCTCCCCGGCTCCCGCCCCCTTTCCCTGCCCGCCCGCAGCGGCTGCCTGGGCGCACGTACCTGCTCGCTCCGGGCCGGGCTGCACCGCGTCGGCCGCTGGGGGGCTCCGAGGAGGAAGGGACAGGACGGAGTGGGAGCGGGGATCATGGAGCGCCGCCGTTCCAGCTCCGCCCGCGGCGGGCGAGGGCGCCCGGAGAGTTAGCGTGGGGAGGGAGAGGGAGGTGGCTGCTGGTGCCCGGCCCTTGCCGTCCCTGGGGCCACCTCTGTCTAGCCCGCACGCGCTGGCGAGGGAAACCTGAGGCTACGAGCCCGCGGCGCTGGGCGCAGGGGCGGGGCGGGGCGATGGAGAGGCGGAGGAGAAGACCCCTCCCCCGCCACTGGGGAGACCCTGCTGCACCCGGGAATGTCTTTCCCACCCCAGGTAAAACCCAGGATCCTCTTCAAGGCCTGCAGGTCCAACTTCTCATCACTCCGTGAGACTCGATGGCTCACGGGCGCCACGTGAAGGCTGAAACGAAGCCTCTGCCCACCTCAGTTTCTGATGGGTGTCTTCCTGGGGTATTGTCCATGGCCACGCACACCTTTACCCTCCAAAGCCACCTACAAGGCCCCTTCGCGGTCAGCCTGTCTGGCTTACACACACCCTCACCGTGAGGGGTTCCTGCATCTGGCCACTCCCTTGCCCTGGATCGCCCCCTACACAGGTTTCTGTTTTAAGGGGAACTTCTTTGGCTTGGGAGCCCAGGCCAAGCCCAGAAAGAGGACTTACTGTAAGGAAGGTAAGGTTATGATTTCTGGGAAGACTTGATGGCTAGCTCACATAGATCTTACCATCTCTCTGAACATCAGTGTCCACCTTTGTCCAAGGGAATCATGACCATATAACTAGGACTCCACCTGTGTGATCGGATGCCATCCAGAAGATAAGAGAAGGTGAGAAAGCCCCACCCTGGCTCCTTAGCTGTCTCACTGGCAAAGGCTCGTGGGTCCTCCTCCAAAGGCATTTAGTCCTCACCCACCAGGAGTGCAAAGGTTGTTTTGGAAGTCTTGTGGGCCAACACTGCCAGGTCCTGTGCTGAGCCACCAGAGCTGGACAGGCCCGTCTCCCCCATCATTCCGGAGGCCTGGCCTGTTAGGATTTCCACAGGGAAGCTGGCACCAGGTCCTGTGCAGTCCCATTTCCACCGCTCACAGGTATATGACATGGTGCAAAGGCTCCTCTTGAAGCTCAAGTTTTCCGTCCTGTAAACAGACTCAGGACTTACGGAATGACACAAGATCCCAGCCATTAGCGTGGCCGTAATCCCTCCCCTGTCCTGTGCCATCCTGCCTCACAGCATGTCCTCAGAGGTCACTCTGCTCCCTCACTTCACTCAAGTCTTTGCTCACATGTCAGCTTTTCAGGGACACCTGCCCAAGCCATCCTATAAAGAGTAGATGTGGCGCATGCCTTTAATCCCAGTACCCAGAAGGCAGAGACAGGTGGATCTCTGCTATTGTGGCCAGTTTGGTCTACAGAGGGCGTTCCAAGACAGCCAGGGCTACACAGAGAAACGCTGTCTCCAAAACCAAAACACCAACCAAACAAAGAGTAAAGTAGAGGCTTTGTCTGCTTCTCTCCCTGGTGACTCCAGAGACTTTCAAAGGAGCCAACACCTAGGAGGTTCTCGATAAATTCTCTTTGAATAAAGATTGAGACGTGCACAACTTCTCAGTTTTGGAACTCCTGTTGTATACTAGCAACTAGGCAGAGCCCATCCCTGTCTTTAAGAAATTCCTGTGGGATTCCAGAAGAAAGGGATACCAACAGGTCACACTGCAGCTGAGTAAGGGCTGCCGAGCAGGTACAATGTGCTCTACGTGTCTCAGGCAGGATGCTGGCCCAGTCTTGGGGATGGGACAGCTTTCCAGCAGAAGTGAGGACTGAGCTAAGATGGGCAGGTTATAGATGACAACTGGATAAAGAGCAGGGAAGAGAGATTCAGCAGAAAACTAGTGTGGGCAGACACCCTGGAGTGGGTGAAAGGGAGGGCAGGGAGCGTGGGAAGAAAGGGGCATGGTCACCGTGGGAGACCCAGGTAGGAACATGGTAGGAGATGGGGCTGTGCTGGACAAGAGCCAGGACTCAGCAAAGCCTTCGAGGCTGAAAATTTTGTTCTTTGTTCTCAGAACAGTGGGGAGCACGTGGAAGAGACTGGACAGAAAGCTAGCCACCATGCCCTTCCCCTTTTACATGTGAATTTGACTTTTGGTTACTTGTTAAACTCAGACTTTTTTTGGTGTTTTTGTTTTTGTTTTGTTTGTTTTCGGAAACAGAGACATATATGACAAGTTACTGAGCAACACTGTTTAGATAAATCTGACTCCTGGGGAGGGAACTAGCATGAATGAGAGTAGGAGATGCCAAATGAACTCACGTTCAGCGTAATTTAGAGGTGAGCGATTACGTATATAACTGTTTACAGAGAAGTCCTAAGCACTTCTGAACCATGGTTACCATGCAGACATCGCAAAGTCCAGGAACCATACCACACACAGCCAATTCCAAAAATGGCACAGAAAAGGCATCAAGAAACCCCAGTCACAAAGATACAAATTTCTTAAGGGGACCAACTCCAAATATTCCTGAGGAACATGCGCTTTGCCAAGAAGCACAAGAAAGGCCTGAAGAAGATGCAGGCAAGCGATGCAAAGGCAAAGCGCTCACTTGCAGAGGCTATCAAGGCTCTTGAGAAGCCTAAGGCAACCGGTTAAGCCCAAGATACCAAAGCCCCAACTCCAAACTCAACTGCCTTGCTTTCGTTACTTCCCCCAAGCCTGAGAAGCAGATTCCAGGCTACATGGCCAAGGATTGCAGGCTATGCCAAGCATAGGCCAAGCTCAAACCAAGGCTGAAGCTGCGGCTCCAGTTCAGGCTCTCAAAGGTGCGAAGGCTTCTCTCTGCTAATGTGAAGACAGATGGACTGGTGGGACACTCCCACGCACTATTTGCAGGTGGTAAGTTCCAGTGCTGTTTCACAAATAACCTTGAGGTGAGATCTGCTTTAAAATATTTACAAAAACATGCACATATGCATGGGTTCAAACACATATATATTTCTTTGCTAGAAACAATCGTACTCCATAGCAAAGAGCTCACCCAGTGTAGCGATCTTGGTGTCTTGTGTGTGCATGCTTGCGTGCGTGCGTGCGTGTGTGTGTGTGCATGTGTGTGTGTGTGTGTGTGTGTGTGTGTGTGTGTGTACCTACAGGAGTCAATTCTCTTCTTCCACCATGTGGATCCCTAGTATCTAATTCAGGTTATCAGGTTTGGCAGCAAGCACCTTACTAGCTAAGCCTGAGATCTTGGTTTCTAATACTATTCTTCAGTAAAAGAAGCCAGGGCTCCTCGGAGAAATGAGGCAGAAAATAAACAAGATGAACCAGAAAAATAAAGAAATACTATGCATAGGGCTGGAGAGACAGCTCAGCAGTTAAGAGCATTGGATGCTTCCAGAGGACGCAGTTTTGATTCCCAGTACCCACATGGCAGCCAACAAACAGACATCTATAACTCCAGTTCCCCGGGATTCAGGACCCGTTTCTGGCTTCCATAGGAACCGAGCATGCATGTGGTACAAGGATATGCATGCAGGTAAGACACCCATACACATAAAGAAAGAAAAACAAATCCTTTAAAGTGTTTAATTAAAAAGAAAAAAATTGACCAAGGGTGATGGCACATGCCTTTAATCCCAGCATTCAGAAGGGAGAAGCAGGTGGATCTCTGAGTTTGAGGTCAGCCTGGTCTACAGATTAAGTTCTCAGACAGCCAGGGCTACACAGAGAAACCTTGTCTTAACACTCCCACAAAAAGAAAAGAAAAAAAACAACTACACACACATGCGCACAATCACACACACTGAAAGACGCAGGTCAACTTAAAGTGTTCCCAGACAATGCTGGAGGAAGAAATTAAGCAACAAAATAATATAGTAATACTGGGTTGTAGCTGAAAGTATGACATAAATATTCCCAATTCCATCCTGATAGAAACAGCTGAATGAATCAATGAAAAGATAAACCACCACAGTATTTCAGCACACAGTCCTCAAAGCATGGAGCATAATGCCCATCCTGAGGTGCTGACTGCATCTGATAGGAGCCTTTCCAAGAGTGTGTACGGAGATGTCTAAGTACCTGAGAAACTGGTGCACTTACCCCAGCCAGATGACCATGTTCACATTAACAGTCAGATTATGGTACCAGTGTGCACCCTTGTAATGAGACCAAGCATGCTGGTGCACACCTGTAGTGTAGTACTCAGAGGACTGAGGACTAAGTCAGGAGGATTGCTATGAGTTTAAGGTTTGCCTCAGATACTTTGATAGGCCCTCCTTAAAAGATGGCAGGGCTGGAATGATGGCTCAGTGGTTAAGAGTGCTTTCTACTCTTCCAGAGGACCCAGGTTGGGTTCCCATCACCCACATGGTGGCCACAACTGATTATAATCCCAGTTCCAGAGGGATCAGATGCCCCCTTCTGTTTTCCTCAGCCACCAAACACTGCATGTACACAGTACACATACACCCATGCAGGCAAAACACTTACACACACAAATATTTGGGGAAAAAAAAAGAACTCCATCACAATTAACATTTTTATATTTTTAGTTGTGAGCCTAGCCTTTAACAGCTGAGCCATCCCTCCAAGCCCACAATTAACATTTTTAATTGTCCTTTTACCTTTGTGACCTCACAACTCACAACCTCAGTCTAATCATGAGATCGCATGAATCCCAAGCCCTGACTAAGGGACAGGCTATGACATGCTTGAGCAATTCCCCTCATAGCTGTGGAAGCTGCCCCCAAACAAGGGCAACCTCCACAGTCCAGAGGAGCTTAAAGGGGAAGTAGTAACTATATGCATGTGTCCTGGGGTAGGAAAGGGTTAGCATCAGAACTGGGAGATTGGAGAAAGAATGGACTTTG